TGCTCTTTATCTTTCTTACGCGCGCTCTCTGTCTCTCTCTTGCTCTTGCTCTCTCCCTGTTCATCTCTTCTCTTTTTTTTCTCTCTCTCTCTTTCCTTCTTTCCTTTCTCTTTGTTGCACTGCTGCAATAAAGATCTTTTTGTGTTGTGGTCACTTTCCTTTCAAAAGTGAAACCTGAAAATTCCAAATGTTCTTGTGTATAAACATTTGAATCTAGGAGTCCCACACTTGGGATACAAAGTAGGTTTAGTAAAAGGGTGAACTCTGCAGAGTATCAAAAATGTCCAATAAAAAAAGTGTTTCAGCTCAAAAAAAAATATTAGAAACATAAAGTTAGACAAAATTTTACACTGATTAGAACAAACATTGGGAACTGAACTTTGTTAAGTGGGAAAGTTCTGCCAAGGCCAAAAAAGAAAATAGAGCAAAAAGTCAGATTGGTTCTTAATTTGTGAGCAGAGTCCGTTAAGGACATAAAAACAAAGTGTTCATGTATATTTCTGGCCAGTACATGTCTCTCCCCTTGTTGTTCTTATCCTACTATTGAGGCCTCTGTGCTTCTCAAACCACCTTTAGTGAAGGATCAGGTTTTTGTTGCTGTTGTTTATTTATTTATTTTTTAGTTGTAGACGGACATAATATCTTTATTTTATTTATTTATTTATTTTTTGATGTGATGCTGAGGATCGAACCCAGTGCTTCCCATATCTGACACAAGTGCTCAACCACTGAGCTACAACCCCAGCCCTGAAGGATCAATTTTGTGTCTTTTTATCAGTGCTCTTTTCCATGTATCAAGGACTATTTTATATAAAATATAATGAAAATAAATTAGAAAAATGAAATGATAATACACATACACAATTCCCATCTATGTTTTTATCTTTAGATTCAACACACTTACTTTCTTAAATTGGTATAAGTTTCTAAGTGCCATATCTGAATTTCTGTATTTATCTCATTGCACTGATCCACGGACCACCCTTTGAGTAGTACTGGTCTGTAATAGCACAAGTACCACATTTAGTTGTGTATGTGGCCATCTTTCTTACTAGAGATGAGTCTCTACATGGTAACATTGCATATACCCGGCAGCCTGCGGCAGGGGACTTTGTATCTCATCATATTCTACATATGCATGTGAACAGGAGCTCAAAATAAAGGATAAGTGGAAGCACCGCCTTAGGAAAGTAACTCAGACTCTAAAGTCAGCAATGTGAACCAGACATGGAGGCCCACTCCTGCAATCCCAGAAACTGAGAAGGCTGAGGCAGGAGGAGCAAAAGTTTAAGGTCAGCCTCAACAACTTAATGAGACCCTGCCTGAAAATTAAAAAAAAAAAAAAATATATATATATATATAAATTTTTTTTTTTTCAACTACAATACAAAGCCAAGTACTAAAATCTCAGAAACAAACTACAATCTATATTCTCTTGGCAAGCTTTACTATAAAGGGCCAGATAATAAGTATTTTAGGTTTGTGGGCTCTGAAGTCTCATTGCATTGACTTGTCTGTGCCACTGTAGTGTGAATAAAGCCATATGCAGATAATTGGAGGCAGTCGTGTTCCAATAAAATTTTATTTATGAATACTGATATTTAAATGTCATATTTTTAAAAAAAATATCATATTTTAGCAGAGTATGGTGGTGCATACCTGTTATTTCAGCAATTCAGGAAGCCAAAGCAGGAGTATTGAAAGTTTGAGTCTAGTGGGCTGGGGCTGTGTGTAGCTCAGTGGTACAGCTTTTGCCTCCCACATGTGAGGCACTGGGTTTGATCCTCAGCACCACATAAAAATAAATAAATAAAGATATTGTCTCCAACTAAAAAACAAATATCTAAAAAAAAGTAAAATATAAAAAAGATCGGGGATATAGCTTAGTGGTATGGTGCCCCTACATTCAAGTCCCAGTACTGGGGGAAAATCCCATATTTTCAGTCATAAGATGATTCTTTTGATTTGTTTTCATTCATCTAAAAAATGTAAAATCTATTCTTAGCATGGCAGACCATTCAAAAGCAGGCAGAGGGCTGGATTTCGTCCTCTGCTCTTTAGTTTGCCAACTCTGCTCAAAACCCTGTCCATCTCAGTTCAGCTAAATAAATCTATTGTACATTATAACCTTGAGTCTATAGGCTGGGGAAGGTGGAAAAAGTTGAATTTGTTCTGTGCTAAAATTTTTTTTAGTTGTAAATGGACACAATATCTTTTTGTATACTTATTTATTTTTTAAATTTTTTTTAGTTATACACGGACACGATATCTTTTTTTTTCCACTGTTATATATGGTTAATGATTCTTCGGACACAATATCTTTATTTTGTTTATTTTTATGTGGTGCTGAGGATTGAACCGAGCACTCTTTCACTGAGCCACAACCCCAGCCCCACTTATTCATTTTTTAAGGTGGTGCTGAGGATTGAACCCAGTGCCTCACATGTGTGAGACAAGCACTTTACCACTGAGCCACAGCCCCAGCTCTGTGCTAAAAATTTTTTAAACTTCATTTTGCAGTAATTTCAGACTAGAAAAAGGTTGGTGGGGTGGAGGGGGTGGGGCGACAACAGTACAAAGAATCTCTTCACTGAGTCCCCAAATTTGTTAACATTTTCCACATTTACTTACCTTTCCTGCGTTCTTTTCATGCCTAGACTACCAACTCTTGAATCCTGTTTTCTCTTTCCACATTTTTAGTTTTGGGACTTTCTCTTTCCACATTTTTAGTTTTTTAGTTTTGGGACTGGTAGAGTCAGTTGCAAAGATCATGTCCTTTTGTTTCCAAACACCGAAGAACATTCTCTAACATATCTACATCATTGATCAAAATCAATACAAAACTACTATTTAATCTTTAGATTCTGGGCCATTATGGAGATGAGGGACATTAACATCGATGCATGATATTATCTGATCTACAAATCTAATTCTGATTTCATCAACTGTCCCACTAATATCTTGTATTTGCCAACCATTGTCTCTGGTGACTCCCACCACCACCACCATTACCCAGTGAATTTGATGTTGTTATGTCTTTTTCACCAATGAAGAAACTACAGCTCAGAGAGATTATGCAACTTGTCCACAGTCAGATAAATGGTAAGTAGCAGAGGCAGAATTCTGACTAAGTTGCCTGTCCTGAAGTCCTTCCTCTTTTGGGGGGGGGGGGCGGGATGTTGGGAAGGAGTAGTTGGGATTGAACCCAGAAGTGCTTGACCACTAAGCTATATTCCCAGTCTTTTTTAATTTTAGTTTTGAGTCAGGGTCTTGCCAAGTTTCTCAGATTGGCCTTGAACTTTTTATTTTCCTGCCTCAGCCTCCTGAGTAGCTGGCATTACAGGTGTGTGTCACCTTTCCCAGCAAACTCTTGCTCTTCAGTACTGGATTAGAATTGCAGAGTTAAGAAAGGACTTCACAGATCAAGGAGGGGGAGTTGGCATTATATGCATGAATAGAAGGAAAATCAGTGACTGATCCTGTCCTGGTCTCTCAAGGAAATGTCCAGTGGGAGAGGGCATGGGCAAACAGGAGGTTTGGATATGTTGTTATACAATATGAAAAAGTTTTTTTGCAACATCAAGAGATAAACTAAGATTACTATTTTGACTCCTTAAAAAGTAAAAACTTTTTACTTATTAAAAAAAAAAACTATTAGATACAAAAAGCAACACAAAACAAATACATGATATAAGGAGTTACAAGGTGACAAGGCCCAGCAAGGGCAAGACAAAATAGGAAGGCCACATTGGAGACTTAATTGAGAAGAGAGCTCAGAGGAATCTAACTAAAGTCTGGTCAAGGGGAGAGTCTTTGTCAATAGCATAATTAGACCACACGTTTGTTTTTCAAAATAAAAAGTTAACAAAATTAAAAGTTAGACAACGACATCTAAAAGATTGGATTTTATGTTATGTAAGTTTTAACTCAATACAACTGGGAAAATTTAAATACATATACTTAAAAGCAATATCCCTAGAGTTTTCTTCCCTTAAATTTTTTTTTTAATTTTTTTTTTTTTAGTTGTTGACAGACCTTTATTTTTAAATTTATTTTTATACGGTGCTGAGAATCGAACCCAGTGCCTCACACATGCCGGTCAAGTGCGCTTCCACTGAGCCCCAGTTGAAACTTGGGTAGTGAAAGAACAGCGGGATTTTCAAAGAGTGCAGGGAAGCAACCAGGAAAAAGAGGGTAACTTTGCATTAAAGTCTGGAAGTTTTCTGAGGCCCGGGACAAGTTAGTTTACAACGAAACCTTTCTCCAAATGTAAAAATAGTGCTGTTCATGCCCATTTGACAGATCTGCCCACAATGCAGAGATGACAAGAGAACCAAATGCAAAACTGAAAGGTGGGAGGCACTGCTGCTCTTATCACTCAAAACTCCATGAAATAAACTGCAGACCCAACTGTTTTGGAGGGTGACATTCGAATAAATTTTGCCACAGCTGAATCACACTTCTAAATTTATCCGTAATTAGAGCAATGGTTCTCGAACTTCAGCATAGATCATAATGAGTTGGAGAGTTTGTAAAATTAGAGATAGCTGGGTTTCATACCCCCACCCCACCCCAGTTTCTGATTCAGAGTTTTTTGGGAGGGGGCTCCAGAATTTGCATTTCTAATAAGTTCCAGGTGATGTCGATTTGGTTGGACCATAGACCACACTTCGAGAACCCGTGCTTTAGAGTTTTAGGATCGGAGTTAGGTTTAGTGTTATCAATTTCCCCCTTGAGTTCTCTCCAAGCCGCCAAGGTAAAAGGAGACCCCTTGGCAATGTCCAGCTCCCGGGAGCGTTATCAAGCTGTTGACAGTAGGGCCTCTCGATCGCCATTCCAAAGGGTTCTCCCCTAGGCCGTCACTAGCAAAAAACAGATAACCCTGCGCTGGAATCACGCGGAGGCGCATGGCGAGGGCTCTCCCTTTCACCTCAACCCCTGGCTCTGCTACCGCGGGGTGGAGCCGGGGGCGGAGCAGGCGAGGGGGCGGCGCCAGGCTGCGGGTCCTCAGCCAAGAAAGGCCGAGCGGCTGGCCCCGGCGCCGACTGCGGAGCCGAGAGGTTGGAGAATGGTTATGATTGGGGTCCTGGTTCGCATCCTCTCTTTGATGCTGGCGCCGCTGCTGCTGGGTTCTGCGGGCGGCTTGCTCGTAAGTCTGCGGGACTCCAGCGCTGGGACGCACTGCTGGGGGCAGGCTGATGGGAAGCCAGACTGAGGCCGTGGTCACTTCAGGTCCTGGCAAAGCCGGGAGCTTGAGACCCCGGAGTGTCCCCGAGCAGGCAGGCAACAGGCCGAGCTCAGGCAATGGACTGGCCTTCCTGTCGGGGGCGGGCCGGGCAGATCGGGCGGGGCGCGCGTCCTTCCCTGTAGCTGGGTCGCCTGTGTGTTCCGCTCGGACTGCTCCTTTTGCATGGACCTACTTCCCCATTTGTGTAACGAGGTGGGGAGATGAGGTGCGCCTAAACCTATTCAATTTCGGATTTCCAGGAGAGGGAATCCAAGTCGCGCGGGCTATTGGAGGGCTCAGTGGACTCCGGTTTGGTGCGCCCTCCCTTGCCTAGTTCCGTGCTCTGCGGAGCGCTCCGGAAGGAGATAAATGGGGTCAGGAGAGGCCCCCTCAAAGATGAACCTTGTAATGTTTTTCTGGAGGGTGATCTTCCTTTCAAACATCTGGTCTCCTCCTCGCCAATCCCCCGCCGCCTGCTATTGGGCATGGTGTTTCATCGCGTTCGTGGGACCCTTTTTCTTTAGGGTTTTGCAGGCCAGATTGAGGGTGGGAGGAGGCAGGCTGCAGGTGGGCACCAGCGTTGACAGATCGTGGTCAGAGAGGCTGTTGGGGCGTGGGGGCGTTCACCTGGGGAGCTCTGCGTCACATCTGCGGAAAGAGAGGGAGTAGTTTGGAACGCGGCAATTGCCTCACTGCACGTTCAACAAATCAACTTCGGTTGGGTTCCTCCAGAGTTCAGGTGCATTGAGTCTGGGCACCTTTTAATACAGGTTGGTGGGATTTGAACCTGTTGACGTATGAGTTACACCCTTTGATAAAAGGCTATCAATACGCGCCCAGAACAAAGTTATTTATCTAAAACCAAGATGGAAAATCTTAAGTATTTGGAAAACAGCTGCTGAGAATATTTTCATTTTGGGAAAAGGTTGTCTCAAATTGGGTATTGGCAGCTGCTGCTCCCTCTCCATCTGTCTGTGGTTCTCCTGCCCCCATCTCTCTTGCCTCCCCCCCCCCCCCTTATTAAACATTTTTTTTTTGGTCATAATTGAAAGGTCTAGAGGAACTCTGAGGTTGGAGCTAGACTACTATAAGAAGCTGTTGAAGGTGGAACTGGGAAATAGTTCAGTGGCAGAGTGGAGTGGGGGATGGGAGGAAGATCTTAACCAGTATCTGAAGAGGGGTAGATAAGGATTTGTGGATGAAGAACAGGTCTACAGAGCAGCCCTCTGGGTAATAGATCATCACTCTCCTAAAGCATCATTAAGTGGGTGGGGTGTACCCTGTCTGAGGCCCTCAAGGGGAGGCCAGCATCACTTCAGGAATTCTTAGGTGTCCCTTCTGGGCTTCTGTGTCTAGAGCTGAAGACTAGAGCCAGCAGCCTAGCTTTCCTTTATTGCCTTGTTTGCATTTATTGCTTTCAATGTCCTGGACAAAATTTGAAAATATTTATCAATTTCTTTTAGAAGTAACAAGACTATTACATAGTAATAAACATATTCTTATGAAAGATAATAGTATTTCTCAATATCAGGGTGCAGTCACATTGTTTTACATTCTGTGTCTTAATAAGAGACATTTTTAAATGTACTTCTGCATTTAGTCCATTACCATATGACATGTCATGTAGCTTCAGGTGCATACAGTAGAAAGCTCTACTGTATATGCATGACAGTGAGAATGGAAAAAGTGGTGATGGCTTAGTAGTAGTATGAAAATAGTGTCTGACTAAATGGATCTTCTGAGAGGGTGTCACTTGAGAACTGTTGATGTAGAATAATGTCTTTCTTATTTTAAAAAAAAAGTTCAAACTTACTGTGGAGAAAGTTTAAACATACAGAACGCTGTGCAAAAATAAAAGCTGCCCATCATGTCACCATGCTGTGTGTTTGTATTTAAATAACAATAGTGTAGTACCTGACTATTTGAGTGGCTTAGATTTGAGGCAGGTTGGGCAGATATTAGTGGCCATCGGGTTTTGAATGGGGATAAAGCGACTCTAATATCCCACAAAGCTGACACCAGTTCCTGGTTGCAGGCCGAGCTGACCTGGAAGCCTCTCGTTGGCCACTGTCCTTTCTAAGGAACTCGCCTTCCAGAGCCCGCCTGCACAGAACTGGTGGGGACTCTTCTAGGAGCAGAGAGAATGGCGCACTTCAGGCAGCTCTCCCTGGGCTCGAAGGCTGCCCTGGCTGCGGTCACTGTCTTCGTGTCCATGATCCTCTCCCGCTCCTATCTGGCACAGAGCCTGGAGCTCAGGGCCTGGCGATGGCTGTTCCGCCTGCAGCTTGCTCTCTTTGTCAACTCGCTCATGCTCATTGGTTCCCTCTACATCTGGCGTAGCACAGTGAGCAACCTCTGTCACCCCCCAGCAATGGAGTCCACCTGTTTCCAGCTTTGGAAACTGGTCGTGATGGTGTTTCTGGCCCTGGCCCATTCCAGTTTCTTCACCATGCTCTTTCTGGTGGCCGAGGAGCCCTACTTCTTTTCCCTGGCGGCCTACTCCTGCCTGGGTGCTTACATCATCATGGTTTTCTTCCTCTGCATCCTCAGCGGCATGGAGCAGGCCTACCAGCTCTTGGCCTGGCGCAGCGGTAGGATCGTGGGCAGCCTTGACAAGTCGAGGAAGCTGGTGCTCAGGCCCGCCCTGGCGGTGGTGGTGACTGCCGTGCTCAGCATGATGGGGCTCCTGAATGCTGCTAAGCCCCCAGCAGTAAAAACCGTGCAGCTGCCCATCCCTCAGCTGCCCCTCTCTATGAACAACCTCAAGATCGTGCTCCTCTCTGACATTCACTTGGGGCCCACAGTGGGCAGGACCAAGATGGAGATGTTTGTGAAGATGGTGAATGCATTGGAACCCGATGTCACGGTGATTGTGGGTGACCTCTCTGATTCAGAAGCCTCTGTCCTTCGGACGGCTGTTGCTCCTTTGGGCCAGCTTCATTCACGCCTTGGCACCTACTTTGTCACGGGCAATCATGAGTACTATACGTCGGATGTCAGCAACTGGTTTGCACTGCTGGAGTCCCTGCGTGTCCTGCCCCTTCACAATGAGAATGTGAAGATTTCTGCCACGGGGGCCCAGCGTGGCGGCGGTGGTGGTGGTGGTGGTGGTGGTGGTGAAAGTGAAGACTGGATCTGCTTGGCCGGAGTGGATGATATCGAAGCAGACATTCTGCACTACTCTGGCCATGGCATGGATCTTGACAAGGCCCTGGGGGGCTGCACCCCAGACCACACCATCATTTTGCTAGCTCACCAGCCCCTGGCTGCCAAGAGAGCCCTCCAGGCGCGGCCAGATATTAACCTGATCCTTTCTGGGCACACACATGCTGGGCAAATCTTCCCGTTGAACGTGGCAGCATATCTCCTGAACCCCTTCTTTGCAGGTCTCTACCAAGTGGCCCAGACTACGTTTGTATATGTCAGTCCAGGGACAGCCTACTATGGGATTCCCATGAGGCTGGGGAGCAGGGCAGAGATCACAGAGCTCATCTTGCAACAGGCTCCCTGAACCAGCCCTGCCCTCAGTACCCCTGCCCTCCCCTACCCTTCCCCCTCCGTCCCTCTTCAGAGTTATTTGCCAGCTTTACCCCTCCAGCCATGACAGCACCCCCTTGGTCACAAACCTAACATGAACAGTGATTTGTAGTGGGGTTGCCTGGCAAGTTCAGGCTGGTTTAATTCTTTAAGTGGCTACTTGCTTTTTGGTATGCACCTATGAGGCCACTTAGGTCACCTATAAGAGGACATGCTTCTGTTTTCCAGTTGGTGTGAAGTGAAGTCCTCCTGCAGAGCTCACAGGGAAGAACCCCAATGTGGAGTTGCTCGTTTAGAACCTGAAAGGGGTAGGAGTGTGTCTTCCTCTTGGTGTTTTTTAAACCTTCTTTAGGACTTAGATCTAGAACCTTTCTAGAGGTGGTATTGGTAGGTAATGTGGGACAACAGGTAAGCTCGGAAGCCCCTTGGATTGCTGGAGAATATTGTCTTATTCTGCTGGGTTCTGACGGAATCAGCTTTATTGAGGGCATTAGCAAAAACTGCTGGAACACAGAGGGCCTCTCGTGTTCAGGTCTTGAGTAATGCCGTTTGTGCTCTTGGGTGGCCTGGGATGGGGCTGCTTGAGCAAAAAAAAAAAAAAAAAAAAAAGAGCTCTCTGGCAGGTGATGGTAATTCTGCTGCTTAGGACCTCGGTGTTTTACCTCCCTTGTCTTTTATACTTGGGTGAGGTAATTAGGGACAGGTGGCCTCTGTATTTATAGGTGAGGAAACTAAGAGGCAAGGCACCCACAACATGACAAGGTATGTTGAAGGGCTGGGGACGTAGCTTACTGACATAGCGTTTGCCTAGTATATGCAGGGCCCTAGGATAGATCCCCAACATCATGAAAAACAAAGACAGGTTGGAGACTTGGGGCTAGAAGCCAGGTCTGCCTCCTACTGAAAGTTCTTTCCACTGTCTGGTGGTTAAGTAGCTTTATCATTATATTTGAGTATAGAGTCTCGCACAGTTAACTGCAAAAGGAGAACAAACCAGAACCTGATGTTCCTTCAGAGTTATTTGCTGAAGTCTGACTTCAGTTTACCCACCACTACGTGGAACAGAGCCTACAAGGAAATTAGCTAGTTTGGGTGTAGGCTGTTAACATTTGAGGAAGAGTCAGGAAACTGGGGCCCCCTACTTCTCACCCCAGGTTGGGGTCTGATGAGAAGTTAAGGTTCACAATCCACCCATGGGGAAGTTGAAGCTTTCATGGGGTGTGGCAGGGCTCTATGCCTCTTGCAGGGCCTTTCCAGCTTCCCCTCCTGAGCCCTGGAGTTCAGGAACTGTTCTTCCTGCTGGGCAGATTCCAATCCACCTGTCTTGCCCCAGGAGAGCTGCCCTTAGACTCTGGCAACAGAAATAACAGGATCATTCCTTAATGACCTCTAGACTCAGAAAAAGAAGTAGGGGTGACTGCCCTGGAGTGATTCCCAACCTCTTGGCCTAGACCTTGCCAGAAGAAAGAACCTTGGACTTTGGAATACCAATAAGCCCTCCTCTTAGAAAGGATTGAGAAATCTGAGGGCTTGGGCTCAGTGTTAACTTCTGAGTAATTTTTAGACATGGGGCTGACAGGCTTTCTGACAGGGAACACAGACACACTCTGATGGGAGGGTCTCACTCTCCTGCTCACTAGTGGGGCATCATAGGTCAGTGAGGTGACCTCACAGAACTGTGGCTTTCAAGATTGTTTCGTTGGGGTGGGAATCAAGACATGGTGCCTGAGTTCCGTGTAGCACTGTGCATAGTTATGTGAATATATCGACAACATGTGAGCTTGCTAAGGAACTATCCTGTGCACAGGTGCCCAGAGAATTTCTGGAGCAACTGATCCTGGGGAATGTGGGTGAATAGCATTCCACCTGTTACCAGGGCCCCGTGAGATGTTGCAGCAGCAACTCGTGGGAAGTCATCTTCCCCTCCCCATGTTAGTCTTCTGTGTATGCTCTGCCTGGCAGATGGAGTGTCTTCGCATTTTCTTTGTTCTTCTGGGTTCTCCAGAACCCCATCCCTTGTTCCTGGGTAGCGAAGGCATCAAAAGTGAACCATCCCGTCAAGTTTAATAAATGTCTTTGAGGTGAAACTGATGGTTTTCTTATTTTTTTTCCCCCTGTATAGAATTTCAGAGCAATGGAAGGGACCCTGGAGAACCTTTTTATTTTATTTAACCCAGGGGTGCTTTACCACTGAGCTACATTCTCAGCCACCACCCTGTCCTTTTAAAATTTTTTATTTTGAGACAGGGTCCAAGTTGCTTAGGTCCTCGCTAAATTGCTGAAGCTGGCCTTGAACTTGGGATCCTTCTGTCTTAGCCTCCTAAGTTGCTGGGATTATAGGCATGTGCCACCACACTTGGCTGGAGAAGCTTTAAAAATAATAATAATAATAATAATAATAATAATAATAATAATAATAAAAACAACAACAACAACAAAAAAGTTTTACAAATGGTGGAATTCTAGGAATGGACACAGCACAGCACCCAGTTCCCTGACTCTCTTTGCAGGGTACCACTGCCAAGCCTGCCACACCTCCAACTGCTCTTCCGAATGTTCTCTCTCCTTTGTGACCCAGCCTCAGTTGGGGCATCATTCTTACTGCCTTTTTCAGTTCTCCTTTGTTTGAGATTGCACCTGACTAGGCTAGTTGTTGACATTTCATTCCTACCTTTTGGTTCTGTTGATAGCGACTGACTTCCCTGCTGAACTTGATATTTTGCTGGTTTCTGGATTTCTAGATCTTTCTCAAGTGCCCTGTGCTTGATGAAATCAGCCTTCATCAAGTTCTGTTGTTTATCTTGGATCCTTGTCTCTCTTGGATGTCATCATTTTGTGGTCTGTGTACCCTTCACCCACTCTGAACTCCTTGCTTGATGGATTGCTTTTCTATTAACAGAAAGGAAGTAAGGCCACCCTAGGAATCCAAGAAAAGGCATTAACATTCTCTTATTCTTGGTTTGTATTCCCTGACTTGGGGTAGGGGGGTAGGGGAGAGGATGTTCCCAGAAGAAATTTCTCTATTATTGTTCAGATGTGTCCCTGTTGCACCCTTTGTCCCTCTGTTCAATGCACTGAATGGACTAGTTTTCTTCATGCTTGTGGCTGTGATGAAGAACCTTACTTGAAGCTTGATCATTCTGTTTTGTTTTTCTATTCATTAGATGCAAATTGAAATGTAATGCTTTTTATAATTAATAATAGCATGTGTTATATGATATTGTTATAAAATACAAAAAATTAGGGCTGGGGATATAGCTCAGTTGGTAGAATGCTTATTGCATGCACAAAGTCCTGGGTTCAATCCCCAGCACCCTCTTCCCCCATCACACACACACACACAAAAAAAAAAAAAAAATATATATATATATAAAAAATTAATTCTGCCAACCATTTAAAACATCCATCCAGCCTTTTCTTCTTTGATTTGTTTTAAACTTTTTATTATGGAAATTCTCATGAAAGTAGAATAGCATACTGACATGTCCCTGTCACCCAGCATCAACATTGTGACTCTCCTGCCACTCTTTCCCATCTGCCCTTTTTCCACACTCTTTCATATTTCTTTTTTAGCATAAGCATATTAAGTCTTAGGAAACGTAATTTTTTCCCCCATAAGCAATTCGGTATAAATCCTTTGCTTAAAAAGCATAACCATATGCCATTATGATATCCACTAAAAATAACAGTGGTTCATAATATCATGTAATATCCAGGAGATTTGGAGCTAGAGAAGCCAGATCTTTTACCTCCCAGTAAAATATTGGAACTTTCCACTCTCCTTGAGATCAATTCTTCTCAATACTGTCAGATATATGCCTTCAAGTGGAATCTTGCTGGATCATAATGGCAATCATTCTGTTTTCATTTTTTGTGGACCCCACCTCCCCCCACCCCGCCGCCATCCCATACTGCTTTCCAGAGCAGTTGCACCATTTTACAATCTCACCAACAATACATGGGGCCCCAGTTTCTCCACATCTTTGGTAACACTCATTTTCTGTTGCTTTTTTTTTATAGTGACCATCCTAATGAGTTGATATTGTGATTTAAAAAAAAATTTTTTTTTTTTAGTTGAAGGACCTTTATTTATTTGTATGTGATGCTGAGAATTGAACCCAGTGCCTCACGCATGCTAGGCAAATGCTCTAACACTGAGTCACAACCCCAGCCCTTATATTGTGATTTTGATATGTGTGATGTAGAGCAGTTTTCACTGCCGATTGGCTTTTTTTTTTTTTTGTACCAGGAATTGAACTTGGGGGCACTCAACCACTGAGCCATATCCCCAGCCTTATTTTATATTTTATTTAGAGACAAGGTCTCACTGAGTTGCTTAGTGCCTCATACTATCTTTGGAGAAATTTCTATTCAACCCTTTGCATATTTTCAAACCTGGTGGTTTTGCTTTTGAGTTGTAGGATTTCCTTATATATTCTGAGTATTTATTCTATCAGATACTTGGTTTGCAGATATGTTATGCAATTCTGTGGGTTGCCTTGCCTTTTCACTGTTGATTTGTCTCTCTCTCTACCCCTAAAACCTAGGGGTGCTCTACCACTAAGCTATATCCCCAACCCCTTTCTTTTTTATTTTGAGACAGGGTCCCACAAAATCACCCAGTCTGACCTCAAACTTGTGATGCTCCTGCCTGAGCCTCCTGAGCAGCTAGGATTATAGACATTTGTCACTGCACTGGGCTTGAACTAATTTTGGATGTCCTTTCCCCATCAAATGATCTTGGCACCTTGGTTGATAATTGTTTGACTGTATACAAGAGTATTTACTTCTGGCCTCTGTTTTCATCCATTGTTTAGTCTGTAGGGCATTGACACTGTTTTTGATTACTGTAGCTTTGTAATATATTTTGAAATAAAGAAATATAAGTCTTCAGACTTTGTTCTTTTTCAATATTGTCTTGCTCTTTGGGTTCTTTGAGATTCCATATGAATTTTAGGATGAGTTTTTCTACTTCTGCAAAAATGCCTTTGGAATTTTGATAGGGGCTGTGTTGACTCTGGATCATTTTAGATGATATGGTCATTGTAAATATATTAAGTCTTCCAATCCATGAAGACTGAAGTAGTGTTTTGTACTTTTCACTGTGTAAGTCTTTTGTCTCCTTGGTGAAGTTTATTCCTAAGTATTTTACCTTTTTTAAAATTTATTTTTATTTTTTTAAAATTCATTTCCTCTAGTAACTGGGGATTGAACCCAGGGGGAGCTCTATCACTGAAATACACCCACAGCCCTTGTTATTTTTTGAGACAGGTCTTGCTGAGTTGCTGTGGGCTAGCCTCCAACTTGGGATCCTCCTGCCTCAGCTGTGGAATAGCTCTGAATATAGGCGAGAGCCACACCCAAACTTCTTGATGCTTTTGCACATGGAATTGTTTTTTCTTATTTCCTTTTAGGATTGTTCAGTGTCAGGGTATAGAAATGCAACTAATTTCTGTGTTGATTTTTGTGTCCTTCTACTTTACTGAATTCATTTATTAGTCCTAGCAGGTTTTCTTTTTTCTTTTTTTTTTATGGAATCTTTAGTGTTTTCTGTATGTAAGACCATGTGACATACAAAGAGGTAATTTTACTTTCTTGTTAGT